CGTCGCACACACATACACCGACACACACACACACACACACACACTGACTCACACACACACTAGAGATATACATCTCTTGCGCTCATACATAGATTTTTCACTTGAAAACAGAATGAAAATTGCTGAACTGTAACCATATGTGGCGACCATGGCTGCTTTATGGCTATGTCAACTATATACCCTGTCTATAGAGAGTCGAGCTACATGTGATGGGCGTGCATTATGTAACTGGGCGCAGATCTTTTGGGAAGGTCTTTGAATTCGTTCCATAAAACTGTTATTTAATTATGCTATAAAAACTGTTACTGCTAATTGATTTCTGCAAATATGTCATTTTAATATTATTTTAATTTTCCTTTTAATTGCACACTTAATGTATTCTTTTAGTGTTTATCGTTTTCCTATTGGCTTTTCATGCCCCACTTTGGATTTAAATCATTTGCCAAACGACCGCCCACAATTTATTTGCTTTGGCGATGTTAAAAAGGTCAATTACAACTTATTGCCAGCTTTTCAAAAGCCCATCAAATGCTGAACATTTGCCGTTACGCTCGCATAGCTACCGCAGCTGTGTGGCTCGAGTCTGGCTGGGTCTGGTTCGGTCCGATCGAGGGTATGGACCATGTCCTATGATCGTACAATTTTGATTAGCAGCAAACGACAGGCGACGTCAACAATTTAATTGCACATTTGCATTAGAGTGGAAAGCTGAAATGCGCTCCAAACCAGAGGCTGTCAGGCCCCCTCCTGCGCGGGGGGAGCTACTGCCGCTGCTGCTGCCAGCTCCTGGCAAGCGGTTTCCATTACAATTGCAAAGCGCAGGCCAGGTTTGATTTCTTAATTGTCGCTAAATGCGGGGCTGCCAAACATTGTTTTGTCCTCATCGTCGTCGGCGTCGTCGTCGACGTCGTCTGGACCGCATTATCGTCGATCATTTTGTTTGCAATGAGTTTTTGTTGTTGCTGCGCTGGGCACACGAAATGAATGTTTGAGCAGAGACACAGCTGTAAAGGAATTGTTGAACGACGATCATGGTGGTAATTTCAGCAAGCACGCTTAATGGAAACCAGAATGGGAAAGGCAACGGGAATGGTAATGGGAATGCGAGTGGGAATGGAAATGGGAACGGGAATGGGTATCACAGCGCAATTGTCATGTCAGTTGCTGGTGGTTGTTGTTGCTGCTGCTGCTGGTTGGGGTCGTATTTTAATTGCTTCAATTTTAATTTATTTTTATTTTGCTGGCACTCTCGAGTCGCTCGAGCACTTGAGCTAGGCATTTTTGGCATGTTTAGTTGAAATGTTTTCAGTTTATATATACATCCCTCTCTCACTCACACTCTTTTTATATATACCCTCATATGAAAGGTCTGTAATTGAGCTACCTGCATAAGTTGCGTCAGGCCACGCAACAATAGAAGCAGCAGAAAACCTCGCACTGTGTCAGGGGTCACAATTTTATTATTGTTATTGTTATTATGTTTTTAATTTCTCTAGTGTTGATAGATGTCTCGCATGCTCTTTCAGCATTTTTGCTTTCCATAGCGAGCCTATAAATTATGCTTTAATTATGCGCGCCTTAATTTATTTCGATTCGTGCCTAAGCCCTAGTTCGCACCCACTCTGCTCAGCGGCAACTAATACTTTCACTGCTTAAAACACAAAAATAACTTATATTTGGTAATTTTTGGCTTGGTTAATTTACATTTAAATATTATTTTCGTTTTGGCTTTTAATATTTTGGGGTTTTTTTTTTTTTTGGCTGCCGTCAATTTCTAATCTCTTTTGGCTGCCCGTTGACATCAAAACGCAGTTTTCAAAGCATTTTTTTAATCGTCAAACTGTCACATAAACTTTACATTTTATTTGACAAGCGCGCTTGGCATACACAAAAAACTAAATAACAAAAAATAAAAGACAAAAAGTCTCCAAGCAAAATGCGTACAACAAATTTCTTTTCGATAACGTGCACAAAAACAACAAACAACAACAACAACAACATGGGAGCGAGTGCCAGTGACTGCTGCTGCGACTGGAAAGCGCAACGCGGCGTATACGCAATGTGACAAGTTGCTCTCGTGGCACATTAGTTGAAATTATGACAATTTTCCCAATGCAATAATTCAAATTTATTTTCGTCTGGCCGACAGCTATTGGTTCGTTATTATTAATTCAATTTGCTTTCGATTATCAGCAGCTAAGCCACAGATTTCGATTTCATTCAAATGTTAATGCGCATTCGGTGAGCTAATCTCAATGATTTGTTGGACTTTTGTTTTGCTATTGTAATTACAAAAATTTATATGTAAATTTAAAGTTATTCATGCAAGTGAAACGCGCTTGAATGGGGAATTTGATTTATAAATTTGAAAAATCAGTTATACAGATTTCGTAAAAGCTTTGCCTGCATAGAGGATATATGTATATAGGTTTAATTGCGTTGCCCAAGACAGGAAATGGCGCGCTGCAAAAGCCAACAGCAACAGCAACAACAACAATAACAACACAAATCTGGGACTTAGAATGCAAGATAATTTTGGTCGGCGGATATAAGGTGCTATAACTCATGTGGCGGCAACAACAATTTGATATCAAAGAGCTGTGTTCGCCAGCCAGCAGATCGCATAAATTATGAATGCCGTCGATTGCAGTCCATGGGAGAGCTAAATGTAGTATTTATTTATTTATTTTTTTTTCTTTCTAGATTTTTTTTTTTTTTTTTTTTTTTCATTTTGTATAGGTGTTAGAACCTTTCGGTGTTTTGGATTTCGGCTTTCAAGAATTTATGGCGCCTTAAACAGACAGATATGCTCGATGCCATTAGTGATTTATTGTGGGACAACAATCGATTGTGTAGCCAAAGTTCTCTCTCTCAGTTTGTCTCTCTCGCACTCTTTTGTGTCTCTCTCTCGTTTTCTCAGAGTGTTTGGCTAGCGCTTGACATTGAAAACCAAAGCCAAGTGCCGTTGAAAATGGGTTGGCTGTTGTTTGTTTGTTCACTGTTATTGTTGTTGTTGCTGCTGTTGGTGTTGCCACATTGTTGACTGGCCAAGCGTGTGAATTCTGTTTTCGTTGCAACTTTCAAAGTAAAAAGAGACGCTGCAAATTAAGTCAGGGCTGTAGAATTGCATTACTCATAAAGTCTATATAAAGCTGCTATATTGAATTTCATATCGTGGCGACTGTATTCAATTTCATTCGCGAATGCGCACACAAATGTGGGTGCTCGCATACGATATCATCATCATCATCATCATCGTCGTCGTCGTCTCTCTCAAAGCATATACAGATATGCCAAATAACAAGGATGATTAATTGTAAATACTTAACGGCTGCAGTCCGAATTCAGGTATGATTCTCAATAATATATGCTGCTATTGGATGACTGAGTGTTGGTTAAATAAATAAATATAAATATATTGCTGATAGGTATACAAATACATGCGCAAATAAACACACACGTGTGTACATATGAATGTAGTGAAGAAGTGTATCTGACGCAAATGGCGATAAGATAACAGCACTCACAAAATAATCACCCAAATATTTATATATATATACAATATATGCATATATAAAATTATATATGTATCGAGTGCCAATTCGTTTGATAGTAAGTTCAATAGAAATTCTTTAATCGTGTTTTTGCACTACATTTCACATATTAGTTCTATATTGTATATTATTCGAATTGAAAAAGTTAATCTCAGTTCGAACCAGTTCGAATTCGCTGTTCACATAAACTGAGACACAATTCAAGTCGTTCTCCAAGACCTGCCTATTCCATGCCTGGACCACTTGGAGCGCCTGCAAATATGTTTGCATTTCGAAGAGCAGCTTATTGTTTTCTTGCCATCGATTGCCCATCTAGATTTCTATAGAGCTGTCGCGGACTGATCTACGCCTAGTCAACGCCATTTGGCAGGGTAACTGATACGCCTCTGTCCACGCTCTGCATAAACACCAAAACAACTAAAACAACCCATTAAGCTCTCATCTCACTTGCCTCCGTTCACAGAGCTGTCTGAATAGGAACTAAATGCGAATGTCGCTGATAAGCTGAGCTTGAGACTCTCGTTATCATAGTTAACCTGCTGACCATTAAAATAATATATATACATATACATATGTATAAAAATGCTAAATTCTATATATATATATATTTTCGTTTTTGCTTATTCATAATAATATAAAATATGAAAAATAATTTATTTTCATTAAATAAATATATATATATATTAAAAATTTATATATATGTACATATATAGTTATATATATATTTGTTATAACTAGTTGTATCGTCTAAATAAACAATCAAAGTTTAATTTCTGATTATTAGCATTTGATTTCTAGTAGCAACCATAAGCCAATCAATAAATTCTTGTGTGGAATGGTTTGTTATGTGTTTCTTATAATTGTTTATTTGCCTTTCAACTAATTTGTTATTGCTTGCAGCAATACGAAAGTTTCGGCAAAAGATTGTGGGCGAGACTGCTCGACTAGCAAATACTCAGTATTAAAGAATGAAACAGTTTCCAATTATTATAATAAATAATAATATGAAATGACAATGCTACTTGTATTGTTTAATTTTCTTTTGTATTTTATATTTATATATACGCTGATTTAGCTAGCTAAAAAAGCTAAGAAAAATCTTTCACAGGCAACTGCTTTGCCGTTTCGCTTTCGGTATAAACAGACTAAGAAACTTCCAGCTGTGCGCGTTGATTGCCATACGACACGATGCGTTTTCAAATACGTACAAAAGCTTGCAACAGAGTAGCTGTAGTTGTTGTTGTTGTTGTTGCACAAATAGCGTATACGCCGCCTGTTCCCTCGCCTAAACAAAAAATAGCAAACATTGTAAACATTATTTGCTTTTATTTTATTTATTTTTTTTTTTTTTGTTGAGACGAAGGCGGGTTAGCCGAAAAAAAAAACACCGTCTGAACAATTTACAATTAATTTTCATTGTTGTTTTCGTTGCTGGTTTCATTACAGATTCGTAGCGTTTCATCCATGGATTAAGGTGCATTTCATGTTTACAGCAGGCGTTCAGTTGTGTTTAGGTTTCCGTTCATTTCTTCAGTGCTGTGCGTGCTGCGCCCTGGGCGATTGTCAATCATACGCAACGTGGTACGCTGTACGAAGCCAATCAAGTGAATGATCGGTGAGTTTGCACATAATTCGAATAACATTCACAGATTTTTGAAAATCAACTTTAATGCAATGTAAAATGCATAGTAAAATTTGTGAAATTGATTATGTTTGTTGTTGTTGTTGTTGTTGCTGCTGCTTTACGTTATTGCAGCTATAAAATGTTCATTGACATTTGTTGTTCTTGTTGTTTCTTCTTTATGACATTGAGCCTTGAACCGTGTGGGCAATCATTCACACCAGGCTACAAATTAGCTATATGATATGCCTTCCCATTGATAAGTTAAGTCAAATCAGAACCCGATTATTTGCTGGAGCAGGCACTCGTTGAGTCTCTCCCTCTCTCTCTCTCTCTTTCTCTCTCTCATACTGTGTCTCAGTTATTCTTAACTAAACAATTTTATCTGCGCTTTTGCTTTTTTGACTTCGCTCAACTGCTGTCAATTTGGCTAAAAATAAATTATTACTGCATATAGTATATACACAATATGATATCATGCCGCTTCGTTTTTGCCAATTAAAAAACCAGAAAATATCTGTTAATGTTGTTGTTGCTGCTATTGCTACTACTGCTGTTGTTGTTGCTTTTTGTAAATTATGAGCTACGATAATCACACTACGTGGAACTTTTTCAGAATTGTTTGCCAGCTTTGAGTTTGGTCTAGTAATTAGCTGCTTGAACGTCGCATGCGTAGCTCAAATTTCAAAACTACATGCACTTTGCACAGATACTAAGCACTGAGCTGAAGCTGATGCTGGAGTTGCTGCTGCTGGTGCTGCTGCTGTTGCTGCAGCTGGTTGGGCAGGCAGCGGCTGGGTGTGAAAAGATTTATGTGCCTGGCGAGCACATCTTGCTGCCGTCGCCTTTGCTGCAGTTATCAATGCGTTGGCCCCACAGCAGCCAGCAGCCACAGCAGCCTCCCATCTCCCAAGGCAGCAACTGCAACTGCCAGCCAGCCAGCCAGCCATTCACCCGAACGATTCCAGTTTGCGGCCTCTGCTGTTGGTGGCATCTTGAGACATTTCATTGTATGGGCTTTTATTTATGGTCTGCTCAGCTTTTTATAACTCTTCGATTTATATTGATTTGTAATGCACATAAAAAGGCCAGCGCTTTTATATGCAGTTGACCTTGTCCCTGGCCCTCTGTGTGTGTGTGTGTGTGTCAGGATGGTCGCATACCTGTTGCTGTGTTGCTTTGTTGTGCTTGTCACCATGTAAACGATCATGGCTACAAAACACCGAAGGTCATCAGCCAAACCTTAAGCGAAAACTATGCAAAATGCAGCAGCAGCAGCCGCAGCCGTCGCCGCTGCAGTTTGCAATCTGAAAACCGCTCGACGCGTCGTCTCGCATTACTCGCCGCGTCAACAACAAGTGCAACTGGCCATTGTTGCTGTTGTTGTTGTTGTTGTCATGTCTGCAGCACGTCAAAAACGCTGTCGCTGACCGTCCAGGTGCAGGCCATGCCCAGCCGGTGACATAACTCGAACTCAAACTGTGAAATCAGCATTTCTGCATACCCTGTGAGATGGCAGCCAAACTTTGTCCCCCCTCCTCGGCATTATATCATACAGCTATCTGCCTTCAGACAGGGTATACAGCGCATATTATCTTGAGGCCTGCCACCTACAAGTAAGCCAAATGACATACCTTGACATGCCACAGATAAGTGCCTGGCCCAAAAGCGGAGAGCGAAACACTTGTGCATGCAAATATTTTACGAATTTTCGCTGTTAGAAAATTGGCAACTGCAATAGCAAACAGCAACAGCAACGAATAGCTGCGCACATGACAATGTGTAAATTTATGACAGTGTTTATTGTTGTTGCTGCTGTAGTTGTTGTTGTTGGCGTTGCAGCATGTTGCATAAGCGTGCTTTTTGCCTGGCTTTTATGCGCACCGCAAATAGCAAAATATTTGCCTTATTAATTAGGCAATGCGGCAATTGCATGCAATGTTTATCAATAATATTTGCTCAAGCTATGCACATTCAATATATTATTTGGCAATGCGGCTTTTGAGGGCCTCACACGATTAAAGCCCTTTGTGCACTTAGCCAAATGTCAACAGACGCAGACAAAGAGATCAGAGGCAACACGCACGTAATGCATTTAGTATGATTAATGGAAAAGATGCGGAAGCCGATCAACTGTCGGTTCAACTGGTGGTGCGTCTGCCGGACGGATGATAAGTGTGTTTTGTTATGGTTATATGCGTCAATGATTGTTTGTTTGTTCGCTCGGCGGTTGCGTAAATGCCAATGCGGCAAAAGGCCAATAACCGTTCGCACAGCGAACTGGTTCCGGCACCAGGAAATGTCTAACTAGTTCAGTGATTGCAAAAGCCAGATCTCGAGAACGAGAGATTGCTTGGAAAATCTATCAGCTGTTTGATGTTGTTGCCAGTAAATTCAATTTCAATTAAAATGCCCATGTTGTGTGTGTGTGTGTGTGTGTGGGTGAGATCAACACACACGCACACACATGCACAACAAATATGGGTCAGAGCTAGTTATTAGCGTTTCAGCTGATGCCATGACCATGCACTTTCCGAGAATTTTTCATTGAAAATTTAGGCAAAGGCCGCGCCGTTTGCCTGATTAAAGGCGCTTTGCCTTAATGCCGAGGCTTTCACCGGCATGTGGGTCACCTTTCGCCAGAGACTATACCCATTCTGACGACGGCAGCGGCCACAGCTCACAGATCTAAGACAGAAGAACGCTGCTCCTAATGAACTTGTTCTCGCTGCCAATGGGTAGCAAAGTATCCCAAACTTGTTGCCTGGTGTAGGTGTATTGACCCTCAGTCAAAGACTTTTGTGGTTTCGAAATATGTAAATTTCGTCTGACTTTAGAATTCTCATTTCAATTAACTCGATTCGGCATTTTTTTTTTTTTTTTTTTTTTTTGAAGCCGCTGCTAAGCTCAATCAATTCAAATTTAAATACATTAATCAATTCCCACGGCAAAAAATGTATTTTGGTTTTTCCTTTCTTGTACGCAAAAAGCCAAATTCGAAAAAAATAAAATAAGAAAAATAAAACAAAAACCAACTAACAAAGCAACATGAATAGAAAAGAGCGACAATTTAATTATAACAACGAACAGCAGCAGCAACAACAACAACAACAACAACAACAACGACGACGACGACTACACGAGGGAATCTGAAATTGATATCGTGACTTTGTGTAATTTGTAATTTACGATGAGATCACTTCCTCCAACAATGTATCAACGTGGACTCGGTCAGCCAGCCAGCCAATCTTTCGTCGCATTCTCTCTCTCTCTCTCTCTCTCTCTCTCTCTCTCTTTTCTATTTGGCGTCCATCCCATGAGCTTGTCCCAAAACAAACGTCAATTCGTCACCCGGGCGCAGCAGAGTAGAGCGGACGAAGCGACTGTATCTGTATCTGTATCTAGTTCTATGGCTGTGTGACAAGATAAGCCTCAAAGTCGTCGGCTCTGGCAGCGCATTGCTAGATTCAAAGTCCGAGATCAGTTTCTGTTTTTGGCTTGTGCCCATTCAGAGTGCTGCTGACTGGCTGACAACAGCGTCCTGTGCATCAGCAGCAGCAGGAGCAGCAGCAGCATTTTTGTATCGGAGCATCAATGGGGCAAGCAGCACAAAAAGTTCAAGTGGCTCGAGACAAGACACAAATTTGCATTCGTCTTTCGCATTTGCAATCGAAGGAATTGCAGCCATTGCCATTGGCATTGGCATAGGAATTGTCTGTGGCCCGCAGAGTCCATCCGTCCATCCATCCATTCATCCATGCATCCGTCTACTCGTCCTCAGCTCTTGTGGCTTTGTTCTGTGCTCCATAAAATGACATATATTAGGTTTGCCATTCGACTTTGCAGCTCACTAATAAATTCAGAATGCGCAATTGAAATGAAAGCAGCAGGCTGGTATAAAATGTTAATCAAATGATTCTCTTCTGATTGGCCATGCATTTAAATCTCGACATGGAGCTGGCTCATGATCTTGCCCCAGCTCGCATCTCAATCTCGCCATCAAACAAATTTTGTGGGGGTCGCTCATATATGTATATGGCCAATTATTTCAACAGAGCAGAACTTGGAGATGAATGTTAATTAAAATAAATAAAAGAAATAAAATAATAAAGCATGGAGCGTACGAATTAAAAAAGAAATGTAAACAAAATAGTTTATATTGAGTGTATAAGTATTCAAGTATTATATAACTTAGAAATATAATGTTCAGCTCCTGTTATTTTATTTATAATTTTATAATAAATATAAAAAATCAATAAATAATTATTTTAATAAATATAAAAAAAAAATAAATTAAAAAAAAATTAAAATTATTTTAATTGGTATTAATATTATTTATTATTGAATAATTCCAATTTTACCAGAAAGAAATTTGAAGATTAAAATGACTTTTTCATGTAAATATTTTTTGATATTTAACATATTTAAAGGGAAAGTAAAAAGCAGAAGGAAACATGGCAGATCCCATAAATTATATATATTCTTGAAGATATCCTTCTGTCTAGCCTACTATCGCGTCCATCTCAGAACCAGAGCCGTGCTCAGGGTATCTCCTAGTCAGGTACCCCCGATTCTAGCATTATTATTCCATTCTCTTAGTTAAGTATAATTATACACATTTTTTCGCACATCTTCAAATTGCTCAACCGTCATATTCTCATTTTCATTCTAGACCAGCTTTGATTAAAATTCAAGGCAATTTTCATCTAGAGCTCAGCGCTGACCCATTTGCTCCAGAGGTTTTAGCTTGAAATTTGCCCAGTCCTTGACCTTAGCATTAATTGTGATAGCCTAACTCACGTACGCCTTTTATGGCTACCGCTCTTAAAATCTATTATTATATTGTTAAAGTGAGCTCATTAAGTTGTAAGCAGCACAAGGCGGTCGTCTTTCATCTTAGTTTCAGCTCAGTATTTTTTTCTTGCTTAGTTTTTGGTTGAACTCATCAGAGTTGAGCAATGGCTGAAATCGTTTATCGTTTCTCGTTTCTGTTG